AGTTCTTTGTATGTGGATAGGAAAGGCCATGGGAAAAGCCATCCAAATTCGCAAAGAGATGAGGTTAAAGTGACAACCCCAAAGGAAGAGAGCAGAAGGTCTTTGGTCCAAAGGGGAGGAGGCATACTTATGGAGGCAGAGCTCAAAGTCCTTCTTGACTGACTCTGATCAAAACCAGGACCCCAGAAAAGAGGGCAATGATCTTGATTTTTTGTTATGAAATTAAATTGAACAGGTTCCATGTTGTAGACCCAAGTAGGGGAAACAGTAGCTCATTTTAGTAAGAAAAATAGCTCTTTATAGTCCACAAAGCAGTTTTACTCACTGTATTTTGTAAGCAGTCATTATAATCTCTGTTTTTCAGTTAAATAAACTAGAGTTCAGAGAAATGAAATGACAGAGTCCTTAATTAGCAGTGCCATGTAATACTAGTAAGTGGCATTTGAATGTAAGTCTTAGGACTGTCATTTCATATGTGTGCGAAGATGATGAGAAAAGCAACTGAGCAGACTAGGGGTGCTGCGAGTTTTCTCATTTCTCAGCTCAGAAGTTACTGTGCATGGCATCAGTCCTGAAGGGAAGGCCCCATCTGCCTGTCTTTTCTCTGTGCTCAGCTTTCCTTGATTCTCTCCTTTCCAGCTCCCACTGCTTTCTGCACTCCACATCTGCTGAGGCAGTGGCCATGGGGCTCCTGAAGCAGTTTGAGGGGATGCAGCTTCCAGCTGCCTCGGAGCTGGAGTGGCTAGTCCCAGAACATGATGCCCCTCAAAAGGTAAGCTCATCAGCTCTTCTTCCCTGCCCAGGAGGCTGTGAGTCTTTCTGATCTTGTTCTTCTTTGTCACATGCACCCAGTCTGGAATGATCCTGTATGTTTCCTTCTTTACTATAGAAGCCATTTATTACAAATGTGTGGAATGACTAAATGAATGAGTGAATACTTGCTTTTGCCTAGACTTTCCATACAGTCATTAAAACAAAGATACTGGTTTCTTTACTGTCCTTATTCCACATGACTGCTCACTAGACTGAGAGGTACAAGTCCTGTTTTATGGCCCCCTTTGAGATACCATGAAAGTGAATAGTTCAGACTCATCTTAGCCCCTACAGTTTGATCTGCAGTTGAGTCTCTAAGGTGTGAAGCACCCTGGCATACCAAGGCTCCTGAAATGAGTGGACATCATCAGCAGTGGTGCCTCCACTTGGGATGCTGTTTCTAATTGCTTCTTAGAATTCAAGGCCCTCTCTTCCAATACCCCCTGGTGCCTCTTGGTTGTTTTGAGAGTGAAGGTTTCCTGAAGCCCTTGCCCTTGCTCTTCCTGAAATGTCTTTTATTAACTATGCTCTGTCATGGCCAGAATCATGAAGCATTTACATTACCCCAGGCTATGATGCTTGCTCACCCTGTGTTTCTCTCCTGTAGCTCCTGCCTATCCCTGACTCACTGCCTATCTCGCCGGATGATGGGCAGCATGCTGACATCTATAAGCTGCGTATCCGTGTTCGTGGCAACTTGGAGTGGGCCCCACCCCGGCCTCAGATAATTTTTAATGTTCATCCAGCCCCAACGTGAGTAGCTGGTGTCTCTGCTCTTTGGAAAACAGATACATCCTCTTTGGATTGTCAGGGCTTTCTCTTCTCCCTGGTGTCTCTGCCTCCAGCTGTACTTCCCACATGATTCTATTCACTTAAAGGCAGAGGAAGAGGATTATCCATTTTGTGTCCTTAAATTCTTACTTTTTTTTTTTTTTTATTGAATGGTAACTATGTACATTAATGCACTTCTGGGGTACAGTGTGGGGTTTTCACATGCAATCTGAAATACTTCCATCAAACTGGTCAACACAGCCTTCATGTCATTTTCTCAGTTATTGCTTTAAAATGTTCACATTCTACTCTTAGAATGTACCCCTGTATCACCTGTACCCCTATAAGATAAACCTCAGAAGTGATCCCTCCAAACCCCCTCCCAAATTCTTACTCTTAATCCTTCTCTTCCTTCCCAGAGCTAATTGGAAATGAGGCCTCTTTTTGCTGGTATTCCTAGCCTGTTGCCTTCCCAGTAGTTTTGTGAGCTTATTGGTTTTTCTTCTCCTTTTAAGATGGATGAACTCTTTGCTTTTCTATTATTTTCTCCCCTTTACTATTTCTTATCCCTTACTATTGCCCAAAAAGTGTAAGTTCATTACTGGGGGGAGTCACTGACTAGACCTAAATCTTAATCCAATCTTCAGTTTGAATTAGTTCTCCCAACAGCTTCATTTTGTCCAACTAAAACAAGAGATGAATTCCCTTCCCTTCCCACACCATATAAGAGTTCTGTGTTGTGTCCTCATCTGTTACATCTCAGAGGCTGCATGCACCTGCTATCTGCAATCCCCTGTCCTTCATCTTCCTTAGGAGGAAAATTGCTGTGGCCAAGCAGAATTACCGCTGTGCGGGATGTGGCATCCGGACTGACCCTGGTGAGTATCTTCTGTTACCACCATACTGCCTCCAAGGGATTTACCCTCTCTCATACCTAGGAGAGAGGGCTTGCCAGGGCAGAATTGGGGAAGGGGGGAAAAAGAGCTTGGAGGGGAAGGGGTAGGTTACCAGGAAAGAGCACTGGCAATCAGAGGGAAATTATTTCTTGAAGCATATTACTAGGATCGTGTACTAGAGAAAACTGGATAGTTTTACTGGATAGCAAAACTCTGGCAGGTTTTGTTTCCTCAGTGGCCTCTAGGATAGGATGTAGGAATCACAGGCCCCACTATCTGTGGGTTTCTGCCAGTTCTGTGGAGCCTACTGCCCTCCTTCCCTGCCCTTTCAAGGGAATAATAGCCTTACCAGCTTATAGATCTGGAAGGACACATCTGGTTCTTTGGCTTTCTCGTTTTTCCAGACTATATCAAGCGGCTGCGGTACTGTGAGTACTTAGGCAAGTACTTCTGTCAGTGCTGCCATGAGAATGCCCAGATGGTCATCCCAAGCCGGATCCTACGCAAGTGGGACTTTAGCAAGTACTGTGTCAGCAACTTCTCCAAGGACCTGCTCATTAAGATCTGGAACGATCCTCTCTTCAATGTGCAGGACATCAACAGCGCCCTCTATAGGAAAATCAAGCTGCTCAATCAAGTCCGAGTAAGAACAAGGCCACATAAGAGATTCCAAAGTTTCTCCTCTCCTCATCCCCTCCCCTGTTCATACAGGACTGGACCACCACACTTCTCATTATCACACTTTCAGACCTGTAACCACATCATCATTCATGCTCTCCCTGTGTACTTCCTTCACCTTGTCCCATTTCCTAGGTATCTCTCTAGTCAGAGCCTCCAACCTGGCAGTGGCAGCTCTGAAGCTATCCGTAGCACTTGAGGCAAAAGCAGAGTTTCTCCCTTCTAGAAATTCTCCTTTCTCCAGAATTACTGAGTGGAGAATTGAGTATTAACTAGAAAATTCAAATTCTGGAATTCTTAGCTGCTCCAGACTATGTTTGTGAATTATGCAGACTGACCTAGCAGAAGAGCCTTCCCAGATTTGAAGTGAGTTGCTGAGTTAGATAGAGGTGTAGGGGACATTCTGATCTGGCTGCTAAATGCAAAACTTCAAGACCCCCAAGGTTTAAAGTTCTAGCAGTTGATTCTCTTCTCCACATCCCCCCCCAACCTCCTCACCCAATGTCTTTCTCTTCAGCTGCTGCGGGTCCAGCTGTATCACATGAAGAACATGTTCAAGACATGTCGTCTGGCCAAAGAGTAAGTCTTGTGTGGGGAGGTTAGAGTCCTCTGGTGGGGTGAATGTCTCTAAAAGGGATATGTCCCAGCAGTTGGCTCTTGTTACATGAAGGAGAGTAGAAAGATGTTGGGGAAATGTAAATAGTAAACAAGAAGCCACAGCAGTAACTATATCTGTGTCCTCTCTTAAAGAGGACATCTATGGCCCTTCTACCGAGGGAAGACTGCCACTCTTTGCAAGCTATCATGGATCACTTTGCAGGAGGGTATAAATAAGTCACTTCTGTCATCCAGATACCTGGTAGTGTGGGAAGACTGAGGTGGCCTAGAACACTTGGGCTGGCTAAATCTTGCCCACCCTTAATACTTTATTTCTCTTGCTTTTCTGGGTAGAGAACCTACTGCTACTATGTGCCACACAAAGTATGTCATTCCCTCCCTGCCACTTCCCCTCATTTCTCGTAGGCTTCTGGATTCCTTTGACACAGTCCCAGGCCATCTGACAGAAGATCTCCACCTGTACTCACTGAACGACCTGACTGCAATCAGGAAGGGGGAACTGGGGCCCCGGCTTGCCGAGCTCACCAGGGCAGGGGCTGCTCATGTAGAACGATGCATGGTGAGAAAGTCTTGCTTGGGGACATAGGGAGTGGGGTGGCCCCAGGGTTCTTGCATTTTAGCTCCAGGATTTTGACATGGTCTGTCAACACTGTGAGAGAAACTGAAGAGGGTTGCTGTTCCTTGGGCTAGTGAACAGCTGAATCATCCAGATCTAAAAACCTAGAATTAGAAGAAGAATTGGTGCTGACATTGCCCCTGGGTAGTTCCAGGCAGGACTGAGCAGATACTCACTAAAGAATTGTCATGATGTGGGAGGAGAACCCTGGAATCTGGAGAGAGATTCTAATATGGGTCTTGGCTTTATTATTTTCAATCACTGTGACCCATACTTTGGGTCACTGAAAAATATCAATTTTTTTTAATTAATTATTTTTTATTAAATCATAATGTTGTACATTGATGCATTTAGGGGGTTCAGGGTACTGCTTCAATATACAATATGAAATGTTTACATTGAAATCTCTCAGTGTTTTTAAAGATTGTTGAAACAATTTATGTAATGGCATTTTATAAGCTTTTTTTTAAATTTTTTTAACAGAGTCTCATTATATTGCCCAAGATGGTCATGAACCCCTGGGCTCAGGGGATTCTCCTACCTAAGCCTCCCAAGTAGCTGGGACTACAGGTCTGCATGACCATACCCACCTATTTTTTATCTTTTGTGGAGACAGAATCTTGCTCTGTTGCCCAGGTTGGTCTCAAACTCCTGGGCTCAAGTGATCTTCCCATGTCAACCTCCCTCTTGCCTTCTCTTTAAAACTTTGTCTAATACTGCCCAGCCCTGGCCCTAGTTTGGCTTTTATGCTTCTAAGTCCAGCCCAGGCTTCTTCCCCATAGGCTATAGAAACCTTTAGGCCAGCTCAATTTTTATGTATATTTTGGTCCTCCATGGGCTTCACCCTCCGGTGTGCTTCCTCTCATTTTGCTACCTGTCTCTTTCTTCCCCAGCTCTGCCAAGCCAAGGGTTTCATCTGTGAGTTCTGTCAAAATGAGGATGACATCATCTTTCCTTTTGAGCTCCTTAAGTGCCGGACCTGCGAAGGTGAGGGCTGGTGCTAGGATGGGGCAAGCAAGAATGAACACAAAGCTCATTGATTTCCATTGAGCTGCCCCTGTTAGCAAGAGTTTGGTTTGATCCAGCAGTTCCCTATGTTTCTCCATTAGAGCACTAAGCCATGGTAGGGTGAAGGGGCATGGCAGTGACTTATTTCCTATTTGAGATGATATAAATTGTTTCTTCTCTCTCTCATCTTCTCAACCTGATTAGAGTGTAAAGCATGTTACCATAAAATTTGCTTCAAATCTGGAAGCTGTCCCCGGTGTGAACGGCTACAGGCCCGGCGGGAATTGCTGGCCAAGCAGAGCCTGGAGTCCTACATGTCAGACTATGAGGAGGAGCCCACTGAAGCCTTGGCCCTAGAAGCCACTGTCCCGGAGACCACCTGAAGAACGCACATCAAGCCCTCTACGTGGAGGCTGGGGTCGTACATAGTGCACAGCTGAGCCACCCTATTAAGGACTTTCCCCACTTGGGGCTGTTTCTTTATTTTTTTTGAAATTATCATCATTATTATTTTTTATGACTTGTCTGGTGTTTGTGTGTAGTCGGCCTTTGATAGGTTGATGGGGTCTAGCCTGTTGTGACAAATAAGTTGTAAGCACCAGGTATTTCCATCAGAACTGACATGTAGATTCTTAAGCAAAGTTTCCTCTTTCGGGGGAATGGACGATGAGACCCAGTTCTTCTGACAAACATGGCCTTCTCTACTAGGACCAGATCTGGTTTTAGCCATATCTCAAATATGATTTCCAATTTTATTTTGTTTTACTTCTGGAGCTTCTGAGCCAGGCCTTTCTTAACCAACTGTCTTCTCCTTTGCTGCTAAAACAGAGGGATGGAATTTTCTCTCTCCTAATCCTGGAACAGGGTCAGACTACCCTGAGGAGAAGCAGCAGAGAATGGGACTGTATCATGGGCATTCTTTCCAGCTTATTTCAGTGTTTGAGGGGGCCATAAAAACAGAATCATTACTATCCTAGAATCTTTAGAGACTTCAAAGAGGCAGCCATGACTTCCCTGTTTGAAATATTTTTGGCATAGATGTTATCATAAGCTGACTTTATCTACCCTAGAGTGCTTAAAGCAAGGAACAGAACTTATGCTTAGACCAGGCCTGTTTGTAGCCTTATTTCACAAGCATAACTGAGGCTATAACTCTATTTCTTAAGGGACATTTAGTCAGTTATAGGAACTGTTGGCCTCCTTTTAGGCGTTCAGGTCTCTTTTAACCTAGTTCTTTGGTGCAAGTATGATCTTTCAAACTTGGATAAGTCCCTGATGCCATGCTGTGCTACTATGCTAACGTGAGGATAGAAATCCCACTCACCAACTTAGTGGGTTCCTTAATACTACATCCTCTATCAGATGGTCATTATGGTTCTGAGTAAAAGTAAGGCCCAACTTCGTTCTCTTTCCCCTTCCTGCAACAGAGCTGGGACCCTTCTTGGTAACTGAGCGTCTTTTGCCTTAGTTTCTTTTGTCAAAGTTGGAGAAAAGCTTTCTGCTAATCGTGGTGTTATAGGACCTGATTGTGAATATTCTTGTGTTCTTAGGATAACAAGAGCCTTTATGCCAATTATGCACTTAAATCTTTATCAAGCTTGATGGTATTTTTATGTTCAGTCATCCTTTTCATTTTACTGATTTTAGCATTACCCATCCCCACCACCACCTTTTTAATGTGTTTTGATGTTAAGATTTCTTGGATGGGACCGTATATCTGTCTGTGGTGGTCTTTAAGTTGCTATAGCTGCTAACCTTTATGAAAAACACTGGTCAAAGTTGTTTTCTGAGGGTTGGCAGCTCAGTGGACTAAAGTCCACAGCATTTTTGTTCTGAAATTGACTTTTTCCTGTTTACCTGTCTTCCCGTAGTTGGTTGCAACTAGAAAAAATGTAGCCTGGCTGCTGCCCCAGGAAACTGAACAGAAAGTTGCACTTGGTTGGTGGAAGCTGATGATGAGTGCCTGAGCTGCAGGTAACAAGAAGTGTCACAAGGAAGTAGGAGGGGCATTACGGTAATGTCCAGACTAGGGCTCCACCAGAGCAAGGGGGAACGTGCAGGAGTCAGCCTGTGGTGTTGGTCCCTGTGCCTCAAACTTGGGATCTGAAAGCTACATTGGGCTGGAAAACCCGGAGACTATTCCCCCTTCAGTTCATGGTGTAGCTTCAAAAGCCAAGGCCCAACCCAGTTTTGAAGAGCTGATAGAGATACTGCTGATAGAGATAGCTGATACTTCAAGGAGCTTTGGGAATGACTCCACAGAACTCAACTCTCACTAAGGGTTAGGCCCCAGATTCAAAGTCAGGGGGTATAACGGTGGTGATCTCTACTTCCAGTTTTGGTTTAAATTATAAATGCACTCTTTACTCCAAGTCACTACACTGGAGGAGAGGCATAGTCTCTTATCCTGCCTGTTTTATGTGAGCATTGGATCGAAGGATAGAAAATGCTGACACAGTTTCTACAGCTGAACTTAGCCTTATGTACTCCTGTTTTCATTTCTTTCTCTTCACCTCTGTGTCCAATCCCTTTAGATTATGTATCTGTTTTAGTGACCCTGCCCCTGTGCTGTCTTCACTATCCGAATACCCAAATAAATACTTATTTATTTATTAGAGAGTGATGGAGAAAAGGCAGAGAATGGGACATTTTGAAAGCACTTTGCAACTTACCAGTATCTGAAAATCCTCTGCTCTTATGGGGAGAAGATTTGAATGCACTGAAGAGAGTTCCTTCTAAGTGAAATGGAAGGGAAGTGTTTTCTGTAAATAAAGGGAAAAAACAGTTTGCTTCAAGGTAGAGCCAAGATTCAAGACATAGCAGAAGAGTGGAAGACAAATATTTTCCACTTAAATGAGGCTGTAATTGACTCTCTCTGCCAAAGCTTTAGAGCTTTTGTCAAATTAACATAAAAGGAAGCAAAAGTCTAGATAGAGATGTTCTTTTGTGTACAACTTACGTTCTGAATTGGATTTCCACTTGCCGTAATTGTTGTGCACAGCCTAACTGTTCGTTGTCATCTTTAATAAACTAAGGAAATGAAATTCTGCTTTTGTTTGCCTGCCTTGATTATTGGGGAATAGTATTGAGTATTCGCTGTAAAGCAAGCATGTCTGAAAATTAAAGTTTCTTTGTTACAATGCAAAACAAGCTACACCATACAAGTCAGGAAAAGTGACTTAAAGTGCTTTGTCACTGACTTACTATGAGACCTTAAGAGAATCACTCCACCTCTTTGGATTTCTGTTCCTTCATGTATACAATAACAGGATTAGACTGTGACCCACAGTCATTTCCAGTACATGAGGTGTGTGCCCTCTGTCCATACCCTTGGTGTAATTATCACATAAATGAGGTAAATCTTCCTCTCTGCAACATCTGAATTGTCTTAGATGCTTCAATTCCCACTTCTGTGAGCGTCTGCCTCTGGCTTTCTCTCTTATACTCATGGTCTGCCAGAGCTCCAGTTCCATCCTGCAACTTTCTGAACATTTCTCCTTAAATGTGCCCTTGTCATCTCCAATCAATAGGTCTAAAACCAACATAAATATCATTATCTCCAAAAACCTAATCATTAGGTACCCAGATTTGAAAATTTACTTGTATTCAACTTCCTAAGTGACATTATCCAGCTAGTCAAGCATTTTCTCCTTCCTACCACCTATCATCAAGTTATGTTAACTTTTTTGTTTAAAATCAACCTGTCTTGGCTCAGTGCCCATAGCACAGTGCTTACAGTGCCGGCCACATACACTGAGGCTGGCAGGTTCGAATCCAGCCTGGGCCAGCTAAACAACAATGACAACTGCAACAACAACAACAACAAAAATAGCCAGATGTTGTGGCAGGCCCCTGTAGTCCCAGCTACTTGGGAGGCTGAGGCAAGAGAGTCACTTGAGCCTAAGAGTTTAAGGTTGCTGTGACCTGTAACGTCATGGCGCTCTACTGAGGGCAACATAGTAAGACTTGGTCTCAAAAAAAAATAAATCGGCTCGGCGCCTATAGCTCAACCAGCTAAGGCGCC